GCACTTGTGTCCCTTTGAACTTCAGTCGTATAATAAATCTGTTATTAACCAAGCTTGCTCGGGACCGTACAGGAGGAATATCGACCCTTGGTCTTTTTTGTACGGACCGAGCGCAGCGAGGTCCGTACTGTCAAGACCTCGGGCCGATATTCTCCCACTACGGCCCTCGCGCTTGGTTAGTAAGATATATCTACTGAAAGAAAAGAAAAATGGAAAAAAAATTTCCCCACGCTGATTTGGAGTAAGCTCGCCCCATTCTCAACACACTTACTAGAGAAAGTAACCATCCTTTGAACGATACTATGTCACGAATTGAATTACCAATGTAAAAATCTGGAGCCAGTTTGCGTAGAAATTTTATTTTTCAGTTAATAATGGTAATATTAGAGGGTTATTTTTCTCTCACTGGACTTTACCTAGGTTATTTCAAAAAGCTTATAATTAAGAGGGATTACTTTGTAACTTTTCAGAGTGCCATCTCACGGCTGCCGTTCCAAGAGTTCCAATATGGAGATTCCTAATCACTCCGACGGAAACATTAAATGAATGTCATTTCACGAGATTGAATGATAACACACTGATCTGGGAACACCCAACTCATAATAACTTAATATGAAATTCAAGCGGTTTATTGTCACTAAGAACACACGCAATCAAAACCAACTGTAAACCCGGCAAGTAGGAAACATTCTACCAGTGCAAATCCCGGGAAACGCTCGTGCGCTGAGTTGCAACCTAGCTCGTAATTGATTGAATTGACAATTACACCCATATCAATTTTTATACCCTGTTTACACATTACATCAATCGTCGTAAAATTTATCGCGATGAAAAGGTAACACCTTTCAAATTCGCACGACCTTAATACACTTAATTCTCACTTCTAGTTGGAGAAATAACCTTTCTTGCCCTTAACTTATATTTTGCAACGCCGTTCCATTCTCTTTATAATAGGGACTTTAAGCAGTCAGGACGGCAACAGCACAGAAAACGTTGATTAAAAAATGAGTTTCTACTTTTAGTTAGAATTTCGAAAATGGCTGCAAGTGTTTGCCGTCTCATAGGGCGCCAGACCTCAAACTCAACATAACGTATAAAAGTAGCGTTGAGTTCCAAATGTAAATTAAAATAATTTGCCGCCGTGGTTTCGGTTCGCAGACGACGCAAATTTGGGTGATTTCACGTTGTTGTTTAGCAAAGGACGGCTAAGAAATGTACAAAGTTTTAAAACGCACGTGTTGGGCTATTGTTCTGTCAATTAGATATATTGTTTTTCCACGTTCTCGTTGCCGTAGCCGTCGTGGTTTGCTTAAAGTCCCTAATTTTTCTCTAACGCATACCATAGTCAAAGACATTACCCAGCAGAAAGCCTGTGCCGAAACGAGGTCTCCCTTTCTTTATACACATTTTGCTTTCCTAATCAGTTCTATTTTCATAAAAAAGCATAGAAGTGCGCCCTCTCCTCTAAACCAAGAGCTTTTCCTCCTTTTCGGCGAAGTCTGTCGTGCGAGTCTAATTAAAATCAGTGAATAGGTTGTTAGCGTGCTGCGCGGAACTCCGAAAGTGAGGTCAACGAAAAGAGTTCCGTGCGGCAGTTAACATCACGGGTGTTTTTCATCACGGGCTTAGACGAAAAGGACGGATACCTCTTAATCTACCAAGCCTCTTGTAAGATATGGTAGTGACCCGCGTAGGAGAATCTTCATTCTTTCTTTTGCAGTCGTAAGCTATATTGCTTTGTTTCACATCCGAGCCAATGATACAAATTACAAAGCTAAACACTTGGTAGTAACTTTTCAATTCATACTGACTTCACACTGTGGTACAAACAACTGAACATTCACCCATTATGATCACCAAGAAGAACAAAGACATTTTTTACAACACCAAACACAGTTGTGATGCCAGTACTTCCTCAAACAAGAAGTAATAAACACCCTTTCCATTAAACTTCTTGAACGGTGGTATCTTGTGTCAATATCCCGCCTAGTGCCTTCATAACACGATCAGGCATATGATCACTCAGCATGCCGGGATGGATGACAAGTTTGACGTAGTTCTCTTTATCTGCCCACATGACGTCATATTGCGGTCTTTCCAACCTATCGAAAAGAGAATCGGTAAACGATTAAATTTCCTGAATTCGATACAATATCATATAGCTTGTTCAAGCCTCAGTCTATAGCTCAACTAAGAGCCCTCTTTCGATTCAAACGGCCACAGCCCGGGCAAACTGCCTAAGCAGATTTCTGGAGGTGGCGTGGCCGAATGGTTATGGTGCTGGACTTGTAATCTGGTGTCCCGGATTCAAGTCCTCCACCCTACCACTCACTGGATTTATTCTCGGTTGCCCCTCCTGCCAGTGTAGTTAGTCTACATTGTGGCTGAAAAGCCATTCTGGCGGAGCGACGATTAACTTCCTTTTTTTTCTTTCCGGAAACTTCACAAGTAAAACCCTTTCCACGCGCATTCCCTTCGATTTCAGTGGATTGGAAAAGGTAACGGAGATAAAAAACCTCCTTTACCTGCGGACAATTCTAAGGATGTTGATAAGGGAGAGGAGGGGGGGGGGTGCACTTCATAGTCGGGTTGCAAAATAACAAACAGAAACTACCCAGCCAAATTAGGAAATCGCAATTTTCACCTGATAGACGGCCTCTCGTCGATCTGTAATATCTTTCCAGCCGGGAATAGCTGCTCAGCGGAGACTGGTGTCAAGGATGATGACGGAGTCGATTCAAGTTCGCCTTCAGTAAAGTATCCAGTGGAAGGCTCTCCACGAGCCAGAAGTGAAGTTTCGTCTGGTAAACAAAGGAAGAGCAAAGATTTACCGGCTGGAAATAGACAGAGCTGATATTTGAGCAACAAACTATGGAGCCTTAGTAGTTGAATGGCAATTAAGACTATGGAATATGGGAGGCGAAGCAGTGAGGTAGAATTATTTGGCTTAGAGACTTTTGCACTTAGTAGAAGCTCTGCGAAGTGCTTTAAATAAGTCAAAAATGGTGAAATAGCTAAAGCTGTTATACCTTGCATGTCTTCTAGAAGAGGTTGGGTCAAGTTAGATTCCCACAAAAGATGATTAGAAGTTGATCTGTACTGGCGAGAACGAGAAAAAAAATGCCAATCTTCACCTCGTCCAGCTTTGAAACTGGGACCCAGAAAGAAACACAGCGCTTGCCAACAGCCACTCATCAGAACACGGTACTACGAAGAGGTATGAATAAATAACATGAGTTAATAAAAGAAAAGGCACGAACAGTAATTGCAAAATGTTTGGGCCCGAACCATGAAATTTGAACCGTACACATCAATGCATTTTCATTTACATTTATATTGCGCAGACTTCTATGTGGATATATTCAGGCGCGCTTAACAGTATTGTAAGGTTGAGATCGGACGTCAGCATTTTTATCAGGCGCCTCTGGCAGCCGCTTCAGTCCATGTAGCGATCTCATCTTCCCACCCATCTCACCCCGGGGAGGACATCCACTACACAGTAATCTCGTGCATGGGAAATTAACGTCTCCTACCCCTAACCCTGCAGGAGACGGAACCTACGGCTTTACGTCTTATCCGAGAAGACGAAGCAATGTGAGTGAAGCGTCTTGCTTAAGGACACAACGTCATGCCCCAGCCAGGACTTGAACCCGGGCCAACCGACCCAGAGTCCAGCGCACTGACCACTGGACTACTCACGCCTCACAATGCGAAAACTCTCCGGGAAAAAAAATTATTTGAAAAATTAATCAAGATTTTTATTTTGTTTTCTCTTCTTTCGTTCGCCTCTTACTATCTTTTTATACCACTACCAGGTTCCTTAACTTCATGTGCATGACCCAGTTTCTTAATTCGCGTCTACTGATTATATCGAACGTGACTTACAGTTGAAATGACTTGAAACTATGCGGAAGGTGTTTAATAACTTGTGATAACGACGACAATTACGTAATAACTTTTCTTGACGTCGCATAACATATGCAACCTGGTGACACTCTTTGTCGAATAATCTTGTCCGCGATTAGTAGTCATTGTATAGTGTTCTAGTTCAGTGGCAGAATGTTTCAGAGTACCGTTCCGAAGGATCTCGAGATTAGTTTATGTTTAGAACCGTTCCGTAGCATTTCGAGATTTCTTTATGTTTGGAGCCGTTCCGTAGCATCTCGAGATTAGTTTATTTTTTGAACCGTTCCGAAGGATCTCGAGATCAGTTTATTTTCAGAGCCGTTCCGAAGGATCTCGAAATTAGTTAAGGATTTACTTTTGGTGTTTGGTCCAACCACTTATTCTACCACATACCTTAGGAAGGGAGCATTTACTAATAACAGCCACTAGATCTTGACGCAACTCATCCCCGCTTTTAACTCCCATTCTAAGGGTTAAAAGTAAATGAAGGTAAGTACACTATCGAATAAAGGGGGTATGTTTCTAAAGAAACTGTGGTGCTGCGTCGGTGGGGGTAACAAGGTAATTTTATTTTATCAACCAAGTTGATAATGTAAACTGGCCTCCGTAAAGAGTTTCAAAACTGGCGTTTTGAGCGTTAGCCCTAACATGGACCCTTACTTATCACCAGCTGACCGTTGCTGGGTTAGGGGAGGGGTAGGCGCGCAGTTGCTCATAACTCGGATCAAAGATATCAGATCAATGTCAGTATTTGTGCAACTGCGCACCTACCCCTCCCCTAACCCAACATGGACCCTAACTTATCACCAGTTGACCTTTGTTGGGGTAGGGGAGGGGTAGGTGCGCAGTTGCTCATAACTCGGATAAAAAATATCAGATCAATGTCAGTATCTGAGCAACTGCGCACCTACCCCTCTCCTAACCCAACATGGACCCTAACTTATCACCAGTTGACCGTTGTTGGGTTAGGGGAGGGTTAGGTGCGCAGTTGCTCATAACTCGGATAAAAAATATCAGATCAATGTCAGTATCTCAGCAACTGCGCACCTACCCCTCTCCTAACCCAACATGGACCCTAACTTAACAACAGTTGACCGTTGTTGGGTTAGGGGAGAGGTAGGTGCGCAGTTGCTCATAACTTGGATCAATATATCAGGTCAATGTCAGTATCTGAGCTACTACGCACCTACCACTCCCCTAACTAGTTACCAGTTGACTGTTGTTTGGTTGGGGGAGGGGAGTGTGCGCAGATACTGCGACATAAACAGGGCAAAAAAATTCTAACACTGTGGAAAAGCACTCTACCACAAGAATACTGTTGAAAATATAGTCAACTAAAAGATGAGCTCTGGCCAAAAACAGGCACTTACCTGGGAACGACGTCCTTTCCAAGAACAACGGAAATGATAAAATCTTCACAATATGGAGTGGCCAGAGCACTGTGAAGAAAATAGCGGGTGAAATTATCCGGACCATTTTAAAGAATCGAATCACAGTCATTGCTTTTAACTCAGAATGAAACGCAAACAAGAATACAAGATGAATTACATACCTGAGCACGCTGGGATTGGAGTAAGCGAAACAAAGCAATTCAGGGTAAGTTGGTTTGAGAAGAACGGACAACAACGAGGCAGTTCCAGCACCGAGAGAATGACCAACGATTACGAGACGATAATTCTAAGAGAAAAAATTTTCTTTAGAACGCATTCCTTTCGAGTGTTGTAAAACCACAACCTAAGTAATCATAACAGCCAATCGGAACAAAGGAAATAACTAAAGGAGCCAACAATGAGAAATAAAAGTCAAAACAAGCCAACTGCTCGAAGCGCGGGAAAACGCGAGTGACCAAGTCCAGATTGATGGAGGAAGTGACACGAGTTTTCTGGACCAATCACAGAGCGATACAGGGCAAAACCTAGGCAATCCCAAAATTACTTTCGACACTCGTTGGAATACTGCGCAAAAGACAGAAATCAATCTGCAAGCTCTTTTAATTGGCAGCAGCATTCTTGCGGCATGGATAAAAATAAGCGTAATAACGCTTGTGCACTTGGTAATTATAATCACGCACAAAGCTTTTCACGGGCGTTTCAAGTCTTTTAAATCCTACGCGAAAAACGGTGATAGCGTTTGATAAGTCAGCTGGAGCAGTTCATTATTCTGAAATAACAGAATACTAAATTCCAGTGAACAGCTACACTGCGCAGAACCCTTTCATTTTATTATGAGTTCACTCCTACTTCATGTACAGTACCTCGCCAGCTCTCGAGAAAGCACGCTGAAGCAGTTCCTCCTTTTCTAGTTTTGACTTAACATAACGTGCACACAGTAAAATACCCTGAAAAGTAAAATGAAGAGTGAGTAGAAACAGAAGAAGAGACTTAAGGGGTGACTAAAACCACGAAGAGAAAGATATATAGTATTAATAAGTAAACAAAGAAAATCAGTATCAGTTACTTTCTTTAGCCCTTCTATAAAATTAAACTTTATATTGGGGTCGGTTATTTACACGAGGTCTAACCCAGACCGCAGTTTTACGCAAGCAGTGGGCCTCAGGCTTTCTCCAAAAGGGTTAATTTAATTGAATAGTTGTCCTTCCGCTGCTAGCTTTCGGCCCTCTTGACGCTGTTCACAAAAATAAATGTTCAGATAAAAGGTTCAACTGAATTGAGGACTGTTCAGGACGTGGTTTTGTCAAACAACGGCTAAACTATGTTTAAATAATCCGACCCATGCGTCTAACGAACTTCTGGAATATTACTGGATAACGCGAATGCGCTATGGGATTACAGTGCACGATTTCCCAATTTTTTTTTTATACCTCACCGTTTTCTTATTCTTTATCATTCTTTTCCTTAATAAACTTAATTTGGCAAAAAAAGCTGGCGCCGGCGTCGAATTCACTCCAAATTATTTTTACTGTACTACAATTCAAAATAACCGTGTGAATCTCGTTTTCCCTTCTTCGAATACCCCTACTTTTCACCAATGCCTTAGTCACAAAGGATATTCGTTTAGAAACCTCCCAATACTAAACCTTACATGAACATTCGAAAAGAGTGACACAACATACCTTATGCGCATGACAGGTAATTTCAGTTCCTTCAATTCTAAGTTCCTCTTGCTGCCCGGTCAGGTCAGTCAAAGCATCCTGATAAGAAACAATAAGGGTTACATCTAAAAAGTAGTTGTGAGGTTAAAATTAGAGTCCCCTACAACGACAATAATAAACGATGCAGCGGCCGAGTGTTAACCAGGGTAGCGCTTCATACCTTACTCGCCGAGCGAGTTAGGGAGCGGGATGGAGGATGAGCTCTTGAATGCGGTCAGGATGTGGACCATGTTGTTGTTTACGAGGGCAGATTCAAAGTTGAACACCGCATAAAAGGGCTTGCACAGGGACGCAGGTAGCGTATAGAGGACTCCGCTAAATCGCCCCCCACTGCATGTAGAGCGACGGGGAGGAAAGTTACCCGAGCCGTTCCCAGTCGTAGTTATTACGCTCCGCGTGTTATCATTGGAGCAATTTAAGGAAGGAACAGGGATTAATTTATGGTAGAAAGCGATGTGACATTGGAGGGCTATGGGTTGCTTAGCAGCGCCAGCCATCTAGGCCCATGGGCATTGAAACGTCAACATGACGAGACGCGTTTTCTCGAGATTGAGAAGACAAAAGGAAAACACAAGAAAGTGATTTAAAGTTTCCAAAGATTCGGTCGTGATTTATCGGTCAACGGATAGATCGCTACAACAACTTCCAGCATCTATCGTATTAATTATTTGAAGTATATAATTAAGTTAAATAAAACAACGAACCTGCATAGAGAGAGATCCACGAATGGAAACCACCACTGCCTGACAATCGTGATCCACTGCCACATAAAAAGGAGGTTCGTAAATCTGCAGAAAACAAAACTCTAATCAGTAAAATAGAGGCCAAGCTCGACTGTTATTACTTCTTGCTGCCTGTTTTCAGCCTTTTGTACACTTAGAAAACATTTGCATTTTCTGTGATCAGGAGATTATCAACTATTTTCTACAAGGTTTTTCTACACATAAATGAATGTATACTAAGAGGTATAGTCCTTGCATAGTCCTTTCATATCTAAAGCGTGGCTCTGCATTCCCCCTCCTTTTTTTCAAATTAAGGGGAAATTTTCTTAAATCATACTAGAGTGTGTGGGGGGAAGGGAAGGAACCCCTAAGAGAAGAAGAGGAGAAACCTCTTATCCAAGTGATTAGGGACCAACCATTATTTACCGGGGTGGGGGGGAAGAGGCAGGATTTTGGGGGGATCACGCGGTTTTCAGGGCGAACGGAGACGGGATCAGTCCTTGCTTAAAAATATAAAGGGGGGAACTGTGTAGAAAATTGACACCCAGCGGGGGGGGGAAAGGCATTACAATACTACAGAACCTTAAAAAAAGGTTAAGGTTAATTTTATTGTGACGGGACCAGAATGTCCCGATGCCTAACAGGCCATAAATAATAGCCGGTCTCTTAGAGATGTTACAAATATCCCCTCCCCCTCCCCCACCAACTCCTAGCGGGGTGAAAGTCCATTGTGGGATACCTTAAAGCGTTTAAACAGGTTTCTGTGTAAATTCGCGGGTAATAAACCTCAAAAAGTTTTAGAACCCGAGGAAAAACGCTCTTACACTCGAGACAAGGACAAGCAAAATCAAATTTCGATTCACTTTCAGAAAGTTCTCATCGTGTCCTAGGGCCTAATGTAGTTGGTTTTGTTTTCTTCCTTTTATATTTCACTCGAAAAGGAGGCTGTTTTTCACTTTTCTCTTAGAGTTAGTATTAATATATCCTTCCTTTCCTTACGACGTCAAACTGATCAATATACCGACTGAAATGACTGCTACTATTTATTTTTGCTAATACCGATGTCCGTGTAAATAAGACGAAAGCATTGGAAATTTGCATAGCGTGTTTTGAAACAAAAGGAGAGTAATGTCATCGATTGCGCTCACTCAAGGACTAATTATCTCTCTCGTTGGCTAAAAAATCGCTTATTAACGAATCTTTTGAAAAGCGTTTGGGCCCACTGTCAAGTTAATTACCCCCGAACTTAACAAGTACATGAACTTTTGGCACGCAATTACCAGCAAATGTTAAACGCTACATAAAGAGACAAAGAGTACAACTGTATGTTAATGCTTTGACATATAGGGATTAAATTCGGTGGGAATGTTAATTGGAAAGGGGTTGAAGCTTTTTTGTCAAGAAGTAAAACCAAACGTCAACTCTTAAATGTAATTTTCATAAAGATGTCCGTTGAACCTATGGAAACCACAAGAAGGAAAGGGACAGCGATGAGTCAGAACAAAAATATTTGCGAACAAATTAAGTTAACCAAGAGAACAAGGACGGATGAGCGCGAGAAACGCCAAGAGGGTAAGCTTTTTCGAGGAAGGCCGCAAGCACTAAACACTGAACAAGTGAGAGATCATCGAGAAATTTTGAAACTGCAGGGAAATCGGTGTTGCGACGTTAAAACGATGGCGCAAAGTATGAACATTTCAGCGGTCAGACAAGCGAAGCAAGGAGGCCATAATGACAAACAGAGTGCAATTGTCAAGTCGGTAAATAGCAGTACAAATGACTACATCTTACCAAAGGCAGACGAGATTCTCGTCGATTTACACAAGATACTAGTTTTTCGCGACAGAGATCCGTTCATAAATGCCGTGTGTACTAAAAGGCGTTCAAAACCGAAGGGAGCTGAGAAGAAATTCTCCATGGAACAGCGTCGTGTACATGTAAAAAATGCTTATTTTAGGAAAACTTCTATGACGGTCGGAGAGCTAGCGCTTGACAAAGGGAAGGCTGCTAATTCTAGCAAATAAGGACGTGTCCGGAATAACTCGAAGAACTTTGAACGCGACAACGAAAGTTGTGAAGAGTCCGAACGACTAGAAACAAAGAATGTCAATACATTCGACAAGGAGCCGCAAGAATCTCAAGAATATAGAAAATAACTGTACGTTTGTGCACGTACATTCGAGGAAAAGGAAGAGTTCAAATGAATTCACGTTAAAACACTAAAACTTGAAGCAATCCTGTGAAGAATGGAGTCACTCTAAAACTATTTCTAAAACTAACAGTTAAGTCACCTTAAATCAGTGTAATAGCTTATGTCACGGGTTGAATGTATTACTATTAGAAAAGAACTCGGCATCGTCACAGCTTCAATCTGTACACCAGAGTCAAACAAACGACAAAAACCTGATAGCAGGAAACTTAAAAGGATTCAGTAAACAATACTTTTTGTTTTTTTAAACCTGAAAAATAAAATAGGTAACAATAAATGATAGCTTTTATGTTTTTTTTTGGGAAATTGCAAAGAAATGCCGGTGATTTTTTACTCGTTTAAAACAAGATTGACGCTAATCCTTACAGGCTTAATATCACCAACGTCGCGTTACTTCGGAAAAATGATATTATTAGCCTAAAATATTCACAGTTATTGGTTATTCGTCTTGTTGGCCTGCTGACAGAATTAGAAAAGCAGTACCTTGCATTAACCTTCCATTTGCCTTCTGTGACTTCAAAAACTATCTTATAATCTCTCAACCCGTCCACAATACTGGTATAATTATTGGTTCCGTAATGCCTCGCCTTTAATATAACTTGTACTTTGTGTTCAGTGACCAAACGGCATCGTGTTGTATGCCAAATCTTCTTTTCAATAACAATAGTTATTCAAGGTTTTACAGGTTTTGCTTCGCTAAGCTCACCGATTGGCCTAGAAACAACGCACCACAGCCTCAGCCAAACAGATTCAAACTAAAATGAATTGCAACTTTAGTTACTCGCGTTTTCCGCGTTTCAAGTTGGCAGACAAATTCCTATTGGCTCCTGATAACACTTTTCTGTGTTCCCCGTTGGCTGTTTTATTTTTTTTCTCTTTTTTTTTTAGTTTTTACGCGACTAAAACACAAAACGCGTTCCTTTTTAACTCTGGCTTGAATAAAACTACATCCAAGTTATTTACGAAGTTTAGATCGGCTATGTTACAATACTTTGGGAACTTTGGTGATCAACAGAACAAAAGAAACCTCGAATATCCCGAAACAATTTTTTTGTAATTCAGAAAAAAAAAAAGAAAAATAAATGCTGAGCGATGGAGAAGAAAGATACGGATAACAAGTGACCAACTTTCGCCTGATCTGATTTCCTCAAGAGGAGAAAGCAAAAAAATAGTCTGAAGGCTAACTCACATGTCTGCCGAATCCGATTTCTGTAGCGTAAAGTCACTGCAGGAGTATTGCTACTCATTCAAGATGGGAAGCTTTTCCATCGTAAGCCACGCCCAAGCGATTCATAAATAATGCATCTCTCCCTCCCTCTTCAATTGAGTGTCGTAAGAAATCCAGGATTGTTTTACTTTTCCTCTACTCCGCTATGTGATTAGTCGATACAAATCACGCCACTTTCTCAACCAATCAGATTGGTCAAGAAAACTCACGTCACTTTCTCAACTAATCAGACTGGTCAAGAAAACTAACGCCACTTTCTCAACCAATCAGATTGGTCGAGAAAACTCACGCCACTTTCTCAACCAATCAGATTGGTCGAGAAAACTCACGCCACTTTCTCAACCAATCAGATTGGTCGAGAAAACTCACGCCACTTTCTCAACCAATCAGATTGGTCGAGAAAACTCACGCCACTTTCTCAACCAATCAGATTGGTCGAGAAAACTCACGCCACTTTCTCAACCAATCAGATTGGTCGAGAAAACTCACGCCACTTTCTCAACCAATCAGATTGGTCGAGAAAACTCACGCCACTTTCTCAACCAATCAGACTGGTCGAGAAAACTCACGCCACTTTCTCAACCAATCAGACTGGTCAAGAAAACTCATGCCACTTTCTCAACCAATCAGATTTAAAACTAGAACCAATCAGGACTTGGTCACGCGCATTTCCCCGCGCCTTGAACAGTTCTTTTGTGTTCACTTTGAGTTTTGGTAAGCTCCATGTAATATTTTCATTTCCTCTTTCCTTCCCTCTGACTAGCCGTTTGATCTTTTTGGTTATGGTTTTACGACATTCAATCGAAATACATGTACCGGTTAGAGTTACGGTAAGGGAAAGAAAACCAAAACAATGGCTCTATCCGCCCAAGTAACACCGTTATTTCACCTTGTTGTGGTATGAACAATACACCAAATCGATATCCTCTAAATGAGCTTGGAGTTTTAGCCCAGCAGAGTTACAATAACAGCAGTTGTCTTCAAAAATGTGCTCTCCCACTGGACGGCAACCTCCACAACACCTGGGCAATGCAACAGATGATGTCATTTTTGGAAAGTTTTCTTGGTCAGATCTATTTTTGTTTTTTAAAAGTCCAATTTTTTTCAGCATCAATCAACCTAGACTAGGAGCAGTCCCCCTATTCCGGAAAAGTACGTCAAGCGAGTCAAAATTGCGCCGCGTGGAACTCTGAGAGTTGGGCGCAAACAAAAACAAAAAAAACAAAAAAAATATAAGGCCTCACTCCCTGACTTCCGCGTGGCGCAACAAAATCGATTTTTTTTTTCACTTTTTTGGGACTCGCGCGACGTACTACGCTGGAAAGAAAACACTGCTCAAAGTCTACTGTTAAACTTCATCAATGGATCAATATTTGGAACTGTTAATAACACTACAAGCTTGTGCGCTGTGGTTACGGAAAGAATACGACGTAACCTCTGACAAAGATGGATAGAAGTCACCGAGAATTTAGATTTCCAGTGATAATATGGGAATAGCAAAACCATTTCAATAGTGATTACTACCGATCGAAAAGCTGAAAGGATATGGTACCATATCAAATGGCGTCGTTTGACAGTGTCATAAAGGGTTGAGGCTAAAACTGAAAACAACAAGATTAGCGCACCCCTTCGAAACAAGTCCCCCCTCCCCCCGAACTCCAAGCTGAAAAATTAAATGTCTTAGTGAAAGTGGAAAAGAATGGGGAACTGTTCGAAACGAATAAAACTTTCGTTTATGAGAGACAATTAAAATAATCAGAAGCCTGAATCATAGTAAACCAGTAAAACGTCCGTAAATGGAACTTATACCGCACAAATTAAACAGCTCAAAAAATGAAAGAAAGTGTTCCGTTTGACGATCCCGCACTAGAGTATCATGACAAACAGGTTTCTTTTCAAATGATTTTTCCAGCAGAGCGTTAAAAAAAAGTTTAAATTTTTCTCTCTTTGGTTCACTACTTGATAGAATGCCGCTAGTTAAGACGGGTCTTTTCAACAGTTGTCTGTTCATGGGTATCGTCTCTAAATGGCTGCAGCTGTAGATTACTTAAAAAAAAAAATACCTCATTCCACTGCAAAGGTTACCAGGCCCAACACAGGGATTCATAAACATGTACAGAGGCCAACCGTAGGAACCCAGAGCAAACTGCATGAAATGAGCCGCATCCTGTACCAGGGATTTCTCTGTCTACAAGAAAATGACATGGAAATATCCAGCCATCAACATTTTTACCCTGCAGTGGCTGTATAAAGTTAGGTTTATTTAGTAGGTAGGCATTTTTAGGAGCAAGAGTGAATGAAGTGACAGGGGAGGACAGGCTGTTAAAGAAGTTATTCTTCATCAAAGATGGAGGTGAAAATCTGTTACCCCTGCCATGCACATTGTGAATTCTTGCTCAATGAGCAAAACCATATTCATTCTATCTCAAATTATTTCCACCTAAGTATGTAACTTATTCTTGGGCTGCCCACCATTACATCTTAAGTAAGACATCAAATTGAAGTAAGCCTAATGGACCTATCAGATCTGTCCCCACATTGTCATTAAAATTATTAAAACCTGCAACATGTAACAACATAAAGATAACAAACCTTCTAAAAATTATTTCATTATCCATCCACAAAACTTGATTCTATTTACAAGTTTGAATTCAGGATTTGATTGAAAACTAAGCCAAATTTTATCACATTGCCAGAGCTCGACACTAACAGTAGCCAACTAGCCAAAGACTAGTAGAAATTCAGTTTTGGCTAGTGACTTTCAATTTCAACCAGCCAGTTTGGCTAGTAAACAGACTGAAATTGTCGTAACATCTAAAAACATCTAAGATGTCACTAGCCATTTGGCTAGTAAGTTGAAAAGTTAGTGTCGAGCCCTGATTGCAGCCCAAATCAATTACATTATTTCTGCGTAATGCTCAAATGTAGCCTTCAATACTTACAGGATCACTAAGATTCACAAGAGTCCCTTTCTGAAGATTCTGAAAACAACAAAACATAGGAATGGGTTACCATTTAACAATTTTTTTAAGTCATTTACAGTTGAGAGTATTATATAGTAATTTGGCTAAAACTTTTGTTATTTACGTTTCATTTTAAAAACTGATAAAATAACAACACTTGGAAAGACTTACTACTACATCAAGTGAAGCATACAGCATTCCCTAACCTTCTACGATGATCTTTGTTTTGTAATTTCAACAGTAATGGTTCAGTGTGTCCATGATTGATTTTCTACAGTGCCTCCTGTGAGTAAGCATTTGCTCAAAAAAGTCCTAGTTGCACAGACAGAGGCTAGAATGTATCATATATATTTCTTATTAACCAAGTGCGAGGGCGGTACAGGGAAAATATCGGCCCGAGGTCTTGACAGTACGGACCGAGTGCAGCGAGGTCCGTACAAAAAAGACGGAGGGCCGATATTCTTCCAGTATGGTCCCGAGCAAGCTTGGTTAATAAGAGATTTATTATACGACTGAAGTTCAAAGGGACACAAGTGCGGTATCATTCAGGACCATTCGGGACAGTGCCCGCTCCAATACTGAGAGAATATTGACTGGCAATAGAACATTTTGATTGGTTGATTTTAGTTATTGGGCCTCTGACTGCCCGAGTCGTGTAATAAAAATATCTTACCTCTCCTTTTATCTTTCTTTCCATCTGCTCATGATCTTGTTCTTCTTGAAGAAGAATGAGGCCAACAGCAACATCAGAAGCAACAATGTCCACCCCATGCAATCCAGAGGCTAAAATATCTGCAATGTCTGACACTGCACTGAGGTACTGATCATCTCTGCCAGTAAAGAAGCAACACAACCAACGGCATCTCTTCTCCCAAAGCTGATATAAGAGATTCAATAATTCACAACAAAAAAAAACGACTGAGAAAAAGTTGTGTATCATACAGCTGAACAAATTTAAATGAAACATATCATCTTTTCTGCTCGTTTGTTTACTTGTTAGATATGCAAGATATAAATTTACTGAGATGTGGCGAAAGACTCCACCACAACAATGGGGGATTTTTGTTAGGTTTATTAAATCAATGTCTCCTGCAAATTGTAAATTAGTTAAATGAAAAGTGCTAGTTGATACCATGAAAAACAAGAGGGCTGATTTGACAAATAAAGCTCTGTTCAAGAGTTTGCTTCTATCCAAACTGCTTAGACACAGGCCGGAAAGGCTTTAAAGAGATTTGCTTGCAAACCTCTTTTGTTGATTCTTGCATGACAGGTGAAAACTCCCTTCCAAATGGATCCTTGTGGATTGTTCCCAGTGGATCAAACAACACCAAAACACCAATAAGAACAACAAGTAAGATAAGCCATTCCAGAGTCACTGAAACACACACAGCAATAACCAAGCTTGGCTGACAACTGGAGCCATTCTTCACTGCCCAATATGTGCCAAGAATTGTCCACAGTAGCTCTGGCAAATACAGTCCAAGTTGGATATAGAGTAATACTGGCATAAATTGTCGTGGTCTGGAGTTTGTCACAGTTCCTTGCATGCTGATGTATATAATGGCAATTTCATTGATAATCACCAAACTGGTTAGAAGAATCACTCCAATAAAAAACAACTGTAATTCAAGCCAAGCATTGCAATCTCTGATCTCATCATTCTCAAAGCCATATGTCATGGATATCACAGCCAACCTAATTGTCAAGGATAAAGTAAGTCAGCTATTAGTAAATGATAATTATGGTATCCTATATAAAAACAAGAAGTCTTTAAAAGAAATTTGTGCAATAGCTGAGACAAATCTTCAACAATAGTTAAAGTTTCTTTAAACTTTCAACTCTCAAGATCTGATTTTTAATTCTCACTCTGGTTGAAACACATTTCCTTGTCAATCAGTTACAAGAATTTGTTATTAGATCAAGATAACTCCTATCTGATAAAATTGAGTATTCTCATTACCTGTTTGCTGGACAATGTGTGGATATAATGGGGAGAAGTTTCATGTTAATCACCTCTGGGAGAGGAAGGGTTAACACACACTTGTTTATGTTTGTGAATATATGAAAATCATGTATGCGTACTACAGTTAAAGAAATGAGTGTGAGATCTAGAGCGATCTTCGCAGTAATGAACACTACTTATTTAAATAAGCGGTATTGAAAAGCTCCAGGTTGGCTTTTTAGCTCAGTTGGTAGAGCACTATACTGGTATCGCAGAGGTCATAGGTTTGAATCACGTACAGACCTGAATTTTGTCAGGCCTTATTTTCACTACTGCTTAAATGGTGTCCTTACTGCGAAGATTGCTCTCACACTCAAACACTTGTTTGTTTATTTATTCATCACAACTAAGCATGAACATAAATCTGTAACAAAATCATCGAGATGAACATGCAAACAAGCCTTAGCCTTGGGATGGTCTGCGAACTGTTTGACTCCTAAGAGTGACTAGCATCTAATTTCTCCTTACAATATCACCCCTGAATCACACATTAAGGTCACAAGAACAAAGAAAATAACCGCCTCCCGGTTAGCTCAATGGATAGAGTGCTGGACTGTTGTGTGGGAGGTCGAGGGTTCAAGCCCCGGCCGGACCAACACTCAAGGTCTTAAAATAATTGAGAAGAATATGCTACCTTCCTGTAACATCAAGAAATGGTTAGATATTCTAGTCTTCTCGGATAGGGACGAATAAATGGAGGTCCCGTCTCCTACAGGGTTAGGGGTAGGAGACGTTAATTTCCCACGCACGAGATTACTGTGTGATGGATGTCCTCCCCTGGGGTGGGATGGG